CCTTTCTCCTCCTTTCCTTAACCTTAGGGAAAAAAAAGAAAAAATATCCCCCTCTAGTGGCAGAAGGCGGAATAGCAGCTTCCCATTAGTTTCCATGGACGGAAAAGAGCAGATACAGATTAAATGGTTTTCAATGCATTCCTATGGGAAATGCAGATTCAACCTACGAACTTTTTGACCTAAGAACCACCTTCCAATACGGATTAAGTTCGTAAGTCGAGACCCCACTGTACCTCACAAAAACGCCTGGGTGCACCCTCTCAGCAATTTTATGCACATTTTTAAAAGCGTAGGAGATTACATGGAATGATGTTAAACTACTGCAAAACAAAGATACACTGTTTTACCTCTCCTGATTAATTCCTTTCCTTCATCAATTAAGTCTGAGGTCATCTCATTGTCTCCCATGAACTGCTGAAATCCCAGAAGATTCAAACATCGAGTCCCTAAACTGATAAAAAGAAACAATAAAATGTTTCTTTCACTGAAAAAAGTGAAGGAGTGATTAATTAACAACAAGCAAAGATAGAAAACAAGAGGTTCCATAAAGAGTATAACTGTGGGATGCTGAAGTGACTCCTTCTTCTTATTATATCGTATCTCCTTCTGTCATTTCAGCAGAAGACTGGCTACACGATTTCCCCTCCTGCCTCTTCTCTGTTTTCTTCATCAGTTAATGAATGGATTTCGACATTCAAATAAATATGCAAACAGTGAGGAAGTGTGAGACTGTGAAATCTCAGGTTTCAGATATCATCTACTGATCTCATCTGGAATAGAACTCTGAAACTAACCTGATTTCTAAACAGTTACTCTTTTAAGTGAGAACTGGGTCGTTGAAAATGGAAAAAGCATACAACAGGTTACCCTCTCTTGATTTTTGAGGATCAGGTTCTATCCTTCACACCACCTTCACACAGTCCACCAAAGCCCTCCACCTTCTGCATTGCCATTGCAGGGAGAGATAATATGCAAATAAATCTAATTCTAACCTAGAGTAAATTAAATGAGAACATAAAGGGTACATGTGGGGAAAACGCCAGTTCTCAAAATGTAAGAATGCAGTTAAAATTAGAAAGTAAAAATATGAAGAGAAAATGTCCTTTTAAAGGATACAGTGGTGCCTCGCTTAGCGATTGCCTCGTTTAAGGATGTATTCGCTTAGCGATGAGGTTTTTGGAGTGATTTTGCGCTCTGTTTAGCGATGTTCCCTATGGGGAAAATTCACATAGCGATGTTCGGGACCTTGCCTCGCTTAGCGAAGACAGTTTTAGGTCCCCTGTTTCGCTTAGCGATGTTTCATTTTCGCTATTTTTAAAGTGTCTTAAAAGGTTCAAAAATGGCTTTAAATGCAGTTTCCCCACTGGAATGCACCAAAACTACCTTGTTGTCCAGCGAAGATCGCCCATAGGGAAGCCATTTTGCGAGTGCTGATCAGCTGTAAAAATGGCTGCCCTGCGAAGCATGGGTCTGGAAAACACAGGGCAGCCATTTTGCGGAGCCGGAAAAATTGTCGTCTTGCGAACGAACGGTTCGCGAAGCACGGACCTGATCGACGTCAAGCGAATGACTGTTTTGTGAATTGCTATAGCGATCGCAAAAAGTCATCGTAATGTGCATTAGTCGTTCAGCGGGGTCGTCGTCTTGCAAGGTACCACTGTATTAAGGTTACAACAGGCAAGAGTGCACTGGGAGTGAGGGCAATCACATGATTTGAGTTTTTCTGAGTAGCGATTTGACTCTCGGCTTATATCAAAACCAATCTGGCATTTATGGAACATATGTAAGACACGTAGCTCAGATCACATGAGCTCAGTAAAATATGAGACAATATCCCTATTATGCAACAGGTTAGGTAGCTTACTTTACATTTCTGTGGTATTTATTCATCTTAACTGCTACTTCTTAAGTAAATCAAGAGGCTTATTTTGTTGGTAAATACTGAATCTGCAATTATGAACAGATTAAATTGGGAGCAAGGTGGAGGGCTGTAGAGGAAGCATAGATAATTAAACACTTTAAGTATTATGCTGATAAAAAAGTTAATGTTTCCATTCTTGCAGCAGAGATGCTGCTGAGAATTGGCCAAATCTAGTATGATGTACAATTTATCAGGGAAGATAGAAATTTCAGAATGATCAACATGCAAATAAACAAAACAAGACTGAGGAACTTGTTACATACCTGAAATAAGTGGCAATGCAAAGAATGACAACCAGCATGGGATAATAGATATAAAACCCATCTGCAATGAAGGATAACACCTTCATAGACCCCATTATCTGGGAAACAAAAAGCAACAGAGGTTATTACGACCCTACCCCCCCCCCCCAGTTTATTATGACGTTATTGATGCAGCGCCCATCAACACACTTAGAGAGCTGTGCCTGGGTCCACCTCCTCCACCACTCTGCCAATGCAATCAACACCAAATATAAACAAACGGGTCCTGCTCATGTGTAGGCTCTACCCATAAGCAGGAATTTTCTGGTTCCACAGCCAAATACTTAAACCACTGAGCTATCCTGCAGTTGTATTTCAGTTTATGTTCAATTTAAATAACTATGAATAATAATGATTCATGGAGAGGTCCTTCTGGAATTTATCCACAAATTGAAGAACTTCTACAGTGACAAAATCATAAAACAGACATTTTATATAAGTAGGCATTTAATTTTATTGTTAGGTGTTGCTATGTTATAAATCTATCACTGGCCTAAATAACTAATTAAATACAGTAAGCATGGTGCAAACAAAATTTAATTTCACTGGCTTTAATGGCACAATTAAGCTGTCTAAGATTAATTAAGAGCTACACTTCAGAAAGATGGTAATTAAAAATGTAACAACATGTAGGCAGTATTTAAAAATATGTGATTAATGCTAGAAAAAAACATAACAATGGGCAAACAGGCACAAAAATGTAAAAAATAGCTTCCTCTAACCAGTAGAAAAGAGCCACCAGAAAAATTAGACTAGGCACAGCCAGTTAGAAATCCTAAGCTGAAATAAAATGGGAAAAATGTTTTAGCTAATTCAGTAGCAAGGAGGGAAGATGATGAAGTTTTCAATTCACTACAGTCCTCTGAAGATGCCGGCCACAGAGACTGGAGAAGAGACTAGGAAGAACAACCTTAAGAACATGGCCAAAGAGCCTGAAAAACCCACAACAACCACAGTATGAAATTCATTCTGCTTCTACTCTTACACCGTATTGTAGAAACACATATTGTTTACTTACAGATGTATAGGCAGTTGGCTGATCAGTTGTTCGCTTAGAAATTGTTGAATCCATATGAGTCAAGCCCAAGAAATTCAGACATAATGGAGGAGTCAAACGGCAGAAGAGCCTGCATAAAATAGTTGGCAGGTTTGAAACAAATTTATTTGCTTTTGCCTTTTATCTCTACCCTCTATACTACTGAGACTTTGTTATAGGCAGTTGGCTGACACTGTTATGTATTACCAAGGTGCTCACAACTCTTGCAAGGTTTCACAGGTATATGAGATGTTTATAAGAACATGGCCAAAATATTTTTCGCTCTATAAGACGCACCTCTCGATAAGACGCACCTCATTTTTAGGGGAGGAAAACAGGGAAAAATATTCTGGTAATTTCGGCATGCTAGGCCCATGGAGGTGGAGGGAACCTTGGAAGGGTCCGAGAGTGCCTTCCAGGACCCTTCGGAGGCTCTCCCTGCCTCCCGCCGGGCCAGTGGGGGCGAAATCGCCAGCTTCCAGAACCCCTCTGAAGCTTTCCTAGAAGGTTGTGATTTCACCCCCGCTGGCCCCGCAGGGGGTGGGTGGGTGGTTGGAGCCTCCAAAGGGTCCTGGAAGGCACTCTCAGACCCTTCCAAAGCTCCCCCCACCATCCCCCCACTGGGCCCCGGGGAGCGCTGTTTTACACTATTCGCTCCATAAGATGCAGACACTTCCCCCCTTTTTGGGGTGGAAGTGCATCTTATAGAACGAAAAATATGATAACTGCCACCCCCCAGGCAGTTTCCATGGTGAAGCAGGGATTTAGACCCAGATCTCCTGAGTCCAACAGTCTATTCACTACACTATACCAGAACCCACTCTGACATAATCAGCTAATGAATTCTAAAATTAAAAAAAAATATGTACCAGTATAGGGGAATATGTGGCCGTCAGAGGTTGCTGCTGTGTAATTTCACATCCCTTACAATTGCAGTTCAACAATTTCAGGAGGGCCATACTTTCTCCATCCCTAAAAGATATATTCATGCATGCACAGTGCAAATTGTGAATCAGAGTGTACACCTCCCTGTGACCCAGTCCATTCCTGAATAATAGTACACAGAAGGGAGCTCATGGTGGGCTGATAGCTTTTAAAAACTTTCTGAGTTGATTTCTGTCTAAATCTGTGATAGCTCTGTGTGTTTCCAGATCTCAGTGAAAACTCCATTCCCACAAATAAAGAAAATGCAAGTTGCTATGATCAGAGAGGCTACATAGCATCACCAGTTTTGGGGACATGGTAGGCAGGAGGTTTTCCTCTTGACCACAGGGACCTCTCCAGGAATTTCCTGAAGGCTAGCAGGCAGTGGTATTTGTACCATCACAAAGGAGAAAGAGGCAGAAGTAGGGAGCAAAAGAGACAAGACCCTAGTGCACTAATTCTGACCTAGCCAACCAAAGCCCCTACAAGAGGAACACGTCATTCATCCACTTTTAAAAACACACATATAATCAATCCTAGTAGTTTAGCTAAGGAAATTAGAAAATAATAAAAAGAGAGCATACTGGGACACAAACCCTAGCTAGCAATGACAACACTAGTCTTTTGTTTTGCTGTACACCAAGGTAAAATGGTTGGTGCAGTTGACAAAAAGATACATATAGCATGCACTGAACTCAGTCTGGGCTCTCCCTAGTGCTTCAGTGGTTGAATGTCAGGTGAACATCTTGGCCATTATTGGGGAGATCAGCTGTCACCTGCCTTCTCCTCTGATGCCAGCAATTCATACATTTTATTTTTCATGGTGTCAGTTCAAATTGCCAAATACTTTTGGTTAATTTTTTAAAAAACCTCACAAATTACACATGTAATACAAAGAACCCACAGGGACAGTACTCTCGGTGGGCAACCAGCATTTTTCACTCTGCTCTGCAGTTGTTGCCGAATTGCACAATACTCTTGATTGAGTCCTTGCATATTCATCTGAAGACAATGCATATCCCTGAACTGGATGCTTAGGAGTAGGCAAGTTGATAAATACTGACAGACTGTATTGTCTTCTACTTGGTGGACAGCTCAGTGAGTTAGGTGTCTAGCTGCTGAGCCAGAGGTTCGCTTCCCCACTGTGCTTCCTGAGAGAAGAGCCAGCCTGTTTAGCCTTGGGCGAGTTGCACAGTCCCATGATGCCCCCAGAATAAAGGAATGGTAAACCCCTTCAGAGTACTCTCTACTTAAAAACCCTGAGAAGGATCGCTATAAGTGGGAATTAACTTGATGACAAACAATTATTGTTACATGATTGATCCCTATGCAAGCACCACCATGTACCAGCAACCACACATTGTCAGGATCCAGATAACTGCTTGCGAAATGGAGTAAGCAAACCTTGGCTTTCTGTTAAGCTACTGGAGACCCACTACCACACCTTAGGGACAGGACATTGATGACTGTGCCATGGTGCCAAAGAAGTGGGAGACCATGGAAAAACTGAGTGGAGTTTTAGGGTAATTTTGGAAGTTGTCAGGGAGAGCAGGAGTATCAAAGCTGGATATGCCTGCCCCCTTCCACAAGTGGATATCAGGATCCAACTTTTGTAAATGAGGGAAATCAAGGGCTACAGTACATTCTGGATGTTTTGGGGTTATGAGTAAGATCCAAAGGTATTATATCCAATTCCTTCTTTATACTTCCTTTAATTATTTAAGGTTGACCAAATTAAAAAGTAAATTTCTACTCACATGCCACTAAAGAGCAAGCTATATGCATCTGTCTGATGGTGCGAAGCTAAATAATAATAGTTGAACACACGGATCCTGAAGACAGTAGAGTAGACACAAATACTAAGGAAAAAGATGGTAAAGAAACAGGCCATCTGCAAAACAATATACATAAATGTCATTTGCTTTCCATATATACTGTACATATGCTGGAATTTGACAACTAAAGGGCAAAGTACATAAATACAAGGTTACAAATAATACTGCTCAGACTGCATGGCAAGAGGAATGTGATCTTTAAACACAGATTCAAACATTTTAACAAGACATAGGAATAGGGATATTCACATTTTCATTATTTTATTTTTGCTTCTAATGAAATATACACTACAGGAATATGGCTGCATAAAAGTGTGTATATCCTTCAGCATGTTTTCTGATAACAAGAATACAGCCATGAGCTCAACATGTACACTCTGCTTCATACTAACCTTTTTCTCCCCATAACTAGATGGTCATGCATCCTATCACAATAGCATTTGTGAACATAATCTGAGGATTTGGTGACATAACAATTTTATATTTTCATAAATAAAAGCATAAAGCTTAATTCTAAAAACTCAGAAATAAGTTAATATCCTAAATTTCAACATTGTTCAAATATTATCTATATTTCCATTTATTTCACACTATCCCTAGAAGCTGCCATACCAGATTGATGCATGGGGCAGTTGGATCAAGTGCCTGATGTTGAAAAGTCAAGGCACTTTCAGGTTCTTACAGGACGATCAGGGGAGTACATGCAAGCATTCATTAGGCTTTACACTGATATGAAGACTGCTTGACCTTAGTAAGAAAGAGGAGCAATTGGATCTGTAACACAGAATAAAGTTCTTAAAATAGTCCACAGTACTGTGGAGAGTAGTAGCAATTAAGCCTACCCCTTTATTTTATGATTATGTTAATAATCATAATTTAGAATGCAGAACTGAAGAACCCTAGGTGATAAGACATCCAACCTAGCGTATGAAAAAGTGCATACTTTAAACATACAGTATAAAGTATATCTATACATATGAAGTATATATGATCTGATATTCCACCCAACATGTCCAATAATCTCATTGAAGTTGTCCTGTAGATATAGTCCAAAGTATTCGGAAGCCAAAGCCTCTATCCATGATCTAGAAGATATCAAGCATTTCCTGTTAAGCAGGATTATGTGCTATAGTTAAAATATGGTATTAAAACACAGAAGTGTAAGACATCAGGAAACTGACCTCTATGTAGAAATAGTTATAATTCCTTTCTGCTAGTTGAATGAAGACTGCAAACAGGGAGAGAACTGGCTTTGTGCTGAAAAATGTGCATTCTGACCACACAACAATGACTGAAAACATGGCTAAAATAATGGCAAGAACTCTGTGAAACCATGGTCGTAGAAGACACTCCCAATACCATTCTGGAAAGACAAAAGATGTGGAGGTTAGAAAGCAAACATTATAAGGGGATAGAAAGAGAGATAAATTTATAAAAATTACTTCAAAATGGCTGGCCTCTTCTAACTGCACTCTAGAAATGGTTCATTGGTACTAAGATGAGAAAAAGAGTGGAAACAGAATGCTGGAGAAATACAGATACCCGAATCCCCCAACTGTTTGCTCCACTACTTAACTATACAGGCCCCTGTAAGTCAGTGGGTGGGAGGAGAAAATAAAGGAGAACAGTTTCTAAGAGCACTCTGTAATGAATTAGACTGAGCCTTTTGGTTTTATTATATCACTTCTAGTTGTTATTAAGCAGACTATATTCAATTATCTCCATGACAGCACATACCAACAGTTGGTGTGTAAAGATACTGGGTGATCTTGTTTTCTGGTTCTTGAGACTGAAAAGTATGAACAAACTGATGGGTGGAACTGGTTTCATTTTTTGCCACATCCTCCAGGTAAAATGCTTGTTCTAAAAGAATTCCCCACTGGACCTGTGTGCGGCGATGCCTTTGAACTGAATAAATTACCTAACAAAACAAAAATCAATGATATGGCTGTTTATGGCAGCAATAAATAGCAGGGCAAGGTAGAGAGATGTAAATCCCATATATAAATCACTTAGATAATTCATTATTTTCCTCACAAGTGGGCACACTTTGCCATCTGTACATACAATAAGGTAAGGTAAAAGTAAAAGTTCCCCTTGACATTTAGTCCAGTCATCTCTGACTCTAGGGGGCGATGCTCATCCCCATGTCCAAGCCATAGAGCCAATGTTTGTCCGTAGACAGTTTCCATGGTCACATGGCAAGCGCAACTAGACCTTCCCACTGTGGTGGTACCTATTTATCTACTCGCATTTACATGCTTTCAAACTGCTAGGCTGGCAGGAGCTGGGACAAACGACGGGAGCTCACTCTGTCGTGTGGGATTCGATCTTACGACTGCTGGTCTTCTGACCTTGCAGCACAGAGGCTTCTGCGGTTTAACCCACAGCGCCAACATATCCCTTATACATACAATAAACACACATCCAAATAAAACTGGTAATCATTTTTCCTGGACAGCAATGGTTAAAGCTATCAATTTTGTCTTCTGTAGTATCTTTTCTTCCACTGTGAGTTGTTGTATTTCATACTCCTTGATTGCTGTCTACAACTCTCTCCTGCTTTCCTAGTAATGTCTGAGCTGAGCATCCTTACATTCCAAGCATCACCATGTAGACTTTACAAAGCTATTAGTTCAGATGATCAAGTGTTCTAGTGTAACAGACAGAAACTGTTTGGAAAGAACACAGAAAGAGAGGTTACTTACCTGTAACTCTGGTTCTTTGAGTGTTCATCTGTGAATTCACACTAATGGGTTTAATCTGCGCCTGCGCAGAGGTCTCCGGAATATTCTAGAGCTCAAATATGCATTCGCCAGGACCGCCCCCTTAGCACACGGGGTCTGCCTGTCCTGCCAATTACCTCAGTTCCCAAACAGCCTGCCGCTGTAAAGAATAACAGACGTGACAGACAGAAGTGAGGATGGGCGGGAAGTGTGAATTCACAGATGACCACTTGAAGAACCAGATTTACAGGTAAGTAACCTCTCTTTCTTCTTCGTGGTCATAAAATGGTAGAGCTCTCCTCACATCAAGGAGGTGGAGAGAATGCTCAAGGTCCATCATTGGTAATGGGAAGAAGGTAGGTAATATGATAGGTCGACAGACATGAAAATCAGAAACAACCTTAGGAAGAAAGGAAATATCAGGATAGAGCGTAACCTTGTCCGGGTGAAATTGAAGAAACGGAGGGTCCACTCATAGAGCTGCAAGTTCAGACACTCTACGGGCTGCTATAATAGCCACTAGAAATAAAACTTCAAGTGAGAGCAGACATTCAGATGACATTGCAAGAGGTTCAAAGGGTGGCAAGGTGAGGCGACAGAGAACAGTGTGTAAGGACCACTGTGATGGTGCGAAAGGTCTGGATGGTCCCAAATTAGCAACACCTTGTAGAAACTGCTTTAGAGTAGGAAGTCTGAATAATGAGGCAGCAGCAGAGCCTTTTGTTTGGTACGCTACAATCGCTGAAATGTAGACCTTAAGCGTGGATAATGAGAGATGACAATCGAAGAGATAAGAAAGGAAAGCCAATAATACTGGGAGAGTATTGGGGCAGTAGGGAGTTTCCGCTGCTGAGGAAACTTTTGAAAAGTGGACCACTTATAAGTGTACAGTTGATTCGTGGCAGGTTTTCTTGCATGAGTTAAAATCGTGTTCAAAGAGGGTGGATCTTCCAACCTGTGAGATGGAGAGACTGGAGGTCGGGATAGTAAGTCTGTCCCTAGTGCTGACTGAGAAGGTGTGGAAGTAGGGGAAGACAGATGGATTTGGAGGCCATCGTTTGGAGCACTGTGAACCAGGGTTGTCTTGGCCACCAAGGAGAAAGGAAAGCCAATAATGCTGGGAGAGTATTGGGGCAGTAGAGAGGTTGAGTGGTCGAACTCGCCATAAGAGCATCACCAAGGGAGCCTCAACCTATGCCCGCTCTGGAGAAACACCAGGCACATTTGGTATTGTTTGTTGTGGCAAAAACATCTATTTCAGGATGGCCCCATCTGTTGCAGAGGTGGAGGAATATCGAGTCGTCCAGAGACTATAGTAAGTCTGTCCCTAGTGCTGACTGAGAAGGTGTGGAAGTAGGGGAAGACAGATGGATTTGGAGGCCATCGTTTGGAGCACTGTGAACCAGGGTTGTCTTGGCCACCAAGGAGCTATAAGGATGGCATTTGAATGATCTTGTTGCAGTTTGACGATGGACTGGAGGAGGAGTGGGATTGGTGGGAAGAGGTAAAGAGGTTGAGTGGTTGAACTCGCCATAAGAGCATCGCCAAGGGAGCCTCAACCTATGCCCACTCTGGAGAAATACCGGGCACATTTGGTATTGTTTGTTGTGGCAAAAACATCTATTTCAGGATGGCCCCATCTGTTGCAGAGGTGGAATATCGAGTCGTCCAGAGACCATTCATGCATCTGAGAATGAAACCTGCTGAGAGTGTCTGCTAGTTGGTTGTGCTGAGTGACTATGTGGATCGCTATGGGAACATATGGTGATCCAGGCACCATTCCCAAAACCGGACCACAAGCTATAGGAGAGGCAGGGAGTGTGTTCTGCCATTTGTTGTTATAGTAGAGCGCTGTGGGATTGTCAGTAGTCACCTGTACTGCGGTGCTGGTAATGAGAGGCTCGAAAGCATGGAAAGCCTTGAAGATTGCAAGTAATTCGAGGTTGTTGATATGGAGTGTTTTATCATAAGGAGAACAGGTGGCATGAGCGTGCAGGCCTCTGCAATGCGCACCCCAACCGATAGGGGTGGCATCAGTGGTAATTTAAGTTGTCAATTGAAGGGGTGCAAACGGTCTGCCGAGAAAAAGGTTGACCGGAGTGATCCATCAAATCAACTGAGTTGCAAGTTTGGGAGTGACCTTAGTGGGTGGGTCGGAAAGGGGGTCGAACAAGGAGAGGTAGCAGGCTTGTAATGAGTGCATTTTTAATCGGGCTTGCTGAATGACTGGTGTAGTGAGTGTGATAAGGCCGAGAAATCATTGTGCTTGAGGGGCAGTTACAAACATGTAAGGTTGAAAATGCGTGACAAGAGAGTGCATTTTCATCACTCTTTCTTGAGGGAGAAAGACTCGTGCATTCCGTGAATCTAGAACGGCGCCTATATAAGTGATTCTTTGTGAGGGGGATAGGATGGACTTGTTCATGTTGACTCTGAGACCCAGATCCGCTAACAAAGAAAGAGTACGAGCGATGTCGTTTAGAGCCTGGGCGTGCGATTGGGCTACGAGCAGCCAATCGTCAATGTATGTGAACACTGAGATTCCCAGGGTGTGAAGGAGTGCTGCCACGGGAGCCATGCACTTCGTAAATACACAGAGACCACGAAGAAGAAACCAAATTCATCACCAAGTTTCATTACCAAGTACAAGTTCCTTCCCACATCAAGGATGGGAACCTCTTTCACATGCTGAACATCTTAGAAAAAATGGATCTAAATAAATATAGCATGTACGCTTCAGCTAAACTACCTATATACCTGCTTATGAAGCTTCACCAGGCTTTTCTCTGATGGGTATGTATTTGGCCTTTCTTCAAAGTCTTCATAGTCATCCATATTTCTACCCATTCTTTCCTGATACTCAGTAGGACACTGAAATTTAAAAAAGATAGGTATCAAAATATGTTAGTAACACATATTGAAGCCAGTCTGTTTGACAAATACAGCAAACAGCTACAGTATTCAACTGTGCCCAGGCTCATTGCCTACTAGCTTCCGCCTCCTCTTTTCTATCCTATTGATTTTACTTACCATTTCTAATATTATACTTGTTTAAGGCAGGGCTAAAATATTTTAAATAAATAAATAAATTCCTAGAGGGGTAGCCACATTAGTTTATAAGTAAGAGGCGAAAGGTGGGGTAAAATATTTTAAGTAAGTAAATCAATCAATCAGAAGAAATCTCTATAGTGTGGGGTAAAAATATTTTAAGTAAGTAAATCAATCAGAAGAAGTCTCTATAGCGGTCTTTTCAGGTGCAAGCTTTATGCTGCCTACCACATTTTGTGTGACATTTGATTTTTGATGCAAGTGTTGTTGTTTGCTGGAATATAAAAATATTAGCCGATCCCACTCTAGCTTTCACTTTTAATTCTAGAGCTCAAATATGCTCTGTCAATTTTCCACAGGAATCTGTCAATAGTAGTTCCCTAATCTACTGTTACTTCTACACTTTTTAAAAAGTAACCTGTTGTAGCATCATGAGTGTGTGACTGTTGACAAGTTGTCAGACATCAAATGGTGAACTTAACAACAATATGGCACAACATACCACTATCATGCTTGTCATATGGGACCTTTGAGGACAAATAAAAATGTTCTGCTCTTCTCAATGTGAAGGAGTAGAGGAAAAAAGGATAAATTCTGTTCAGGCAACTAGGTCACCATTTTTCCTGCCATGCTGCAATGATAATTTCATAATTTATAGACACTGTGTTACAAAGTTCAACATTGCTGAATTTTTATAATTACCTTCTTCAATATTGTGTCCACACATTTCCTCAAAGGATGGTTGTATTTGATGCTTTCATTTACTTTGCGCACCTCCTATTTGAGGGAAAGAACAGAACCATTTTTCTCCACAGATCTAGTTGAGTCCCCTACTTCTATTCATGCACAAGATGAAAAGGTAATAAACTTAAAATATTTTAGAAAGTAATATCATATCAGGACTTCTCTCAAGCTTCCAGCAATGAACTTTATCCAATAACTTCCCTTTGGAATCTATTTTAATGCAAAAAAAGTGAGAAAAAGTAACTTGCCCTACACTGAAGTTATTTTCAGGACAGTTTGCTGTCCTCTGAAGATGCCCGCCACAGAGACTGGCGAAACGTTAGGAAAAACCACCTTCAGAACACGGCCAAGATGCCCGAAAAACCCACAACAGCCATTATTTTCATACCTCTTGCTATTTTTTGGGTTGTTTTTTTTGGGGGGGTTGGTTTTGCTTCTATAGAGGTTATATTCGACAGTGACAGCTGGAATTCATAGAATTCATAACCCCCCTGGATCTATATGGGCTAGCTAGAAGGACTACACATGGTCTATAATTTACTTACCCTTCTTAGGAGGAATTAAAGAGTGCACAGTATGACCCAGTTTGGATGACTATCAAAACTATGGGATAAATTACTGGGATGAAATGCAGGAATCTTCAGTGTTATGTATTCCTTCCTTAATCTACAAGTGCTAAACACTACTTTCACTTTTTACTAAGCCACGTTGCTAATGATGTATGAAGTGGAGACTGTGTTTTATACTAACTTCAGACAGTAACAACAAACCCAGAGGATTCAGTAAATGCCCCAAGCAAAAGGGTCCTTGCATAAGCACTGCACTGGGTGCAGTGTAGGATGTGTCAGGTCAATTTTGCTGCCAAGAAATAGCTAGCCAGCTGAACAGACTTACCTCCATGATGTCTTCCAAGTTTTCTTCTGCATCTGCCTTTTCAGTCATCAGTTTAGCAGCCTTAAAGTAAGTCTTCATGAGAAGGTAGCCCTTCTTCGCTCCATTCCAGTGAGATCGTGGAATTTCAACCAGGCCATACCCTAACAGCAAAACTAGAAGAAAGAGACCCCAGGTGTTTGCAGCAGCTATTCCAATTGTTTGAAGTTGATTCCTAAAAACAGACAAAATGACCCGGAGCTTTCATATGCAATAATTAATCAAGGCCATTGCACAATCAATATTAACACATTTTAAACATTATATAAAACAATGAAACACAGTCTTTCTTCCACTGCATTTTTACTTCTCATTTAAGTAAAAATCCCTTTGCTTTACATATGTACTGCTGGCAGGAAAAACATTAAAAGACAACAGCAAACCAATTAGTTATAGAGGAACTGCTGCAATACAACTCTCAGAATATCTTAAGTGCAAAAGAAACATGATGTGAAAATGTATTAAGCCATCAGGCAAGCTACTGATAGCTGATCTGGAATATTTTGCCAATATTAAACTGTCTAAGCATGGTAGAACAGAACCGGTTATGCACTGGAGAGGGTGACCAGCAGGTTTGACAGACCCTAAAGGCTTGCAAAATTATGATAAAGGGAGGGGGGAATAGGCTAACATGTTCAGTGTCCCAAGATAACTCTTTGCTGCATGATTGTGGTGGGAGACAGAAAACCAGAGAGGAATAGAGTTTCAAGGACAACATCACAGACAAATAACACAAACAGTAAAGAAGAATCCTCCTCACTAAAGTGAGGTCCCATATGAATTCCACATGAAATGCTGAAATATTATGCTGAAAATATTAAATGTTTCATTTTAAAACAGGGAAAATGTTACAACTGTTGAAATACTGAAGTGCTGAAACATGACAATACACCTTTTCAGATATGAGAAATAAACCCACTTTCTCAAGAACTGGGACCAGAAAACAAATGGCCTCCAAATACCTAAATAAACCTTTGTCTGGTATCACTTGTTGGATAGTCCCCTCTAACAGAGCAACTGGGTGCATATTAATTCTGAAGTATGCCTCACTTCCTCAGTGGGGCTTATTTCCAGTGTGTATATATAGGATCCTACCCTTCAGATAATTACAAAGAGCCAATTACATGATAGGTTGGAGGCTTCTTGTACAAATAATTTGGGCATGTTTAAAGTAGAGTTATGGTTTCATGACTTTTTATTTCTGCCAGAAGAAAAATATGAACATCACATTTAACTGAACATGAAATTGAAAAAGAAAATAATGTTAAATTGAACTCCATAGTGTACCTATAAACAGTTCAGAGCTAGAATCAATTTTTTAAAAAAACTATTTTAAAGAATTTGAACCAAGAAAGCCATTTAAAGAATTTGAACTAAGAAAGCTTACCACTGCAAGTTGATCTTTGGATTGATAGCCACGTATATTAAGAATGCTCCAAAAATTAGAAGGTATGTCCCATAATAGATTGCATTTTCAATTAGTGCTGTTTTAATCTTTCCCGTAATGGAAAAGCCTCCTGATCTAGCATATGATTGCATAAAAGGTAAAAGAATCCTAGGAATGAACAACAAAATTAATGATGCAAAAGAGTTTCAAGTTACCTATCCATCCACATTCTATATAATTTGGCAGAAACAAGTACAAATATAATCAAAGGTCACAGAACATATTCAGCATGGTTATAAGGCTGAAACTATTTATCTCACAGGTGGACTGAATAAATTGCAAGGTAAAGTTACCTCATGTAACATTTTTTAAAAATGGTCTCTGGCAGTTCAGAATTTTGGAAACATGTTATTAGTAGCTAGGAACAAATTCATGAGACCATCTGTAACTAGAAAACACATCCTACAGAATCTTAGGTGAAGTGAGAACCTAATCATCAGCAGAGACAAGCTCCTTTCCCAGATCAAATCCACCCCAAACTTTAAGCAAGTTTATTCTGTTTTGATGGAGCCATCAAGCAGTCTTCCTAAAATACTTATATGCAATTTAATGTTAGGAAGATTGTTAGTTCTTAGCCTAAACTTAGCAAAAGTTCCAGCACAAGACATCAATATCCAAAGAGTATACATTAAACAAGTTTAATATCTTTGGGCTAAATAGTTTGAGCAGATTCAGCCATTGTGTAAATTCTCCCAACTCCTTACCATGTTAAGAACTGTGATGTCCAGTACACTACACGCCAAAAAACGGGCATGATTCCATCAGGAATATAACTCCATGGTTTGAAACATTCATGTTTTCTGTAAAAAGTTTGAAATGTATAAGTGATACACATGTTATGAGATAAATTTAATTTTTATTTCAGAAAACATAATTTTGCTTCAAAGATCATGCTTAATTATTCCAATAAGATTATAATTTATTACAAATTAATACTGCTCTTAGTAGTGCTACATAAACTGAAGGCAAATGGGAAAAGGTATTACAACACCAAAAAGAAACCCAGTATGGTGTAATGAATAGAATGACAGAAAACTGGGTCCAAATCCCTGCTTGACCATGAAGATTCACTAGGGGAGTTTGGCAATGGTGAAACCAATCCTTAAATATGTGACAAAACTTGTAAACCCAATTACAGTTACCATAAAATAGATATGACTTGACAGCACATAACATTTACACAAAATGCCAATACAGTAGGTGCTTGCACAGCATGAAGGGGAAAAACACTTTACACGTGTATGAAATTGAAATATATTATCTGTTGTAAACTGCCCAGAATGGCCCTGGCTGTCAGATAGGTGGTATATCATCATCATCATCATCATCATCATCATCATCATCATCATCATCATCATCATCATCATCATCATCATCATCATCATCATCTAATATATTTATTGTGGGCTTTGTATAGTTTCAGTTGCCAAGGGCAGGACTCCAGCCACACTTCTGCATACTAATTTGGTTCACTGTACATTGTAAAACAGTTCTGCAAATCACAAGACAAAGAACAGACAAACTACAACTCCCATAAGCTCTAGCCACCATGGCCAATGGGCAGAGTTTACAGGAATAGTAATATTGAGACTGAGGCTGCTCTTTCTCTGAAACAGAGACTTGTTTTTTCCTTGTTCCATAAGGTAGCCTTGACATTTTCTGATCCCAATACAATTTTATGCAGAAAATCATTGGTACCTTGAAAGAGGAGTAGCGTTTTCTTGGTGCAAAGATGATCCACTATTAGTAGGAGGCGAGTATGATCCATTTACATCAAGTTTACATCGATTGTATATAGTCTAGAGAACAAAAGGAAAAAGTCAGCATTCACACAAAAAAGTGGGGGGAGAAATTATAGGGGACAAATTAGATATCTTTTTATCCAATAATCCATTATCTCCCCCACAACAAATTCAATAAAACTAGCTTCTTTACTTATACTATACATTTTTAAAAGTATAATAATATTTATTTTGCAATAGCATACTAACATAGAAGAAATCAGTTGAACACCACAGCAGAACATAGCACTGGATACTGTTGTCTACCCTCATCTATATCAGCAGTAATTATTGGCTTCCATCCTGATGCTAAGGAAAGTTTAGTGGTAGAGGAATGCTATGGTATCGAATTTCCCCAAAAATAAGGGTCATATTAATTTTTGCTCCAAAAAACACATTAGGGCTTATTTTCAGGGGATGTTTTTTTATGTACAACTACCGGTATCTACATTTATTCAAATACAGTAATGTCATCTTCTTCTGGTTGCTGCACAATGCTGGAGGGTGGGGTTTCACTTAACTGGGGGTTATTTTTGGGTTAGAGCATCCTGAAAAATCATACTAGGGCTTATTTTCAGGTTAGGTCTTATTTTGAGGGAAACAGGGTAGTAGTTTTTCAAAATGCAAAGGGAACCAAATTCATATTCAGGAACTGTAGCCTGAAAGCAGAGAGAGTCATGACAATGGTGGGAATGTGTGAGCATATATAAAGAGGGGTATCATCCTTCCTCTGTTGCTAATCAAGCCTTTGTGAGATTAATAGAAAGGTCAAAGGACGATAAGGTGAATTTTCTTACAATGTTCCCATATTTGGAAAGTCTGAGAAGGCAGGGCTCCCAGTCACAGAAATGTTGTAAGCATGTTCAATCAAACACACTTACAGAGGGTTCTTTGGACCTTCATGCTGAATATGTGAAAGCCTAATTGGTAACCACGCAGGGGGATGCATACCTCACTACTAGCACCAAAGAGGGCTCAAGACTTCTCAAGACGTTCCTGCAGGCGATGGGTGCCATATAAAGAACTATAGGAGAATTGTCATTCCCTTTGTGCTAAGACAACTTAACACTGCCAAAAAAGGTGCAGTGAAGACAGGGTCGCAACTAACCTTTACCTGCCTAAGGTAAAGGCTGCTTGTCGAACTTACTTCGCTAACCGGATAAGCGAAGCGTCCAACCAGCAGGCGGAGTTATTCC